ATGAAACCGAAATTTCAAGTCAAGGAGTTGTAGGAGAAAATCGGCAAGTGCCGTGTGGCCGCTGAATGGGTTTGAAGGCCGTATTTCTTCCTTATACCGTCATCCATGTTGCCCAAATGCGGATCGTTATTATAGTCATATTGACGGACGCCACGCATCGGCCAAACTTCGAGGGCTGCGCGTATTTTAATTAAACGTTTATGGATGTCACAAACTTTGCATATTCAATTCTATATGCCCCTTTATCGCTTGAGACGCCTAAAATTTACCGATGTTATGTGGCGCCACGAATTGTAGTCGGTAGTAGTGATACGTAAATAACCTTACAAATATTGGACAGTTGAATTGACAGGTGGTCTGAACTGACATCTATATATAGGTTACAAGGAATTCAAAACGAATCAGTGGGGACGAGGAAAGTGTTGCGCTTGTTAAACCAGAGCAAAATGCGCAGCCAAATGGACGTTGCGAGGGCACAAACCACCATAAAGTGTAATGTCGCAACATACCAAACTAGTAGGTTTCCAGGTGCAATATAGAGAATTCCAATTGGAGGTTTGGGGAATGGGAGCAAACGATCCAGCTCTCATTTGAGGGAACCTGTATGTGGGATACCATAAAAAGCTTGACAGATGGGCATGAACACTGTAGTCAGGTAGTCAGTCAACAATACATTGTGTGCATCTACGAAGAGTGGCGATTCAGCTATAATCCAAACCAAGTACACAAGGTTAAAGAAACTTATAACAAATGAATATGGTTCTATACTAATAAGAAAATGTGGCAGTGGTGTTACCGTGGATTCATACAGGCCATCTGAACTTGTTCGCCTCTATCTTGAGCCCTGAGAACATTGACAAACAGGTAACGAGTGGAAAACCGTAAGCCCGTGTGCAGGCGGAAATTGCTTTGTACCTACGTTTAGAAGAAGAAGTCGAAATTTCTTCCAAAAAATCCAGTACGGAGTAGGTGCCTGGCCTCAGTGAGTAAATTGAAAACCAGCTTTTCGTAGGGTCGAACATTATTGGAAACGACGACGCTAGTTAGCCCTATAGTAGTACTTCAACTGCATCGGATAAGTTTCTTCATTGCTTTGTTGCTCATTTGGTATTACCAGTTTACGAGTTCAGGAAATAGCACTGGTGAGCAATACAAACACTGCGGTATTACGCAAGGGGCGACAAAATGTAAAATCAAGTTATGAGGCCCGGATGCAGGTTTAAGTCTGGAGACGTAGGACGTTAGTCTTCTGGGTTCAGTGAATGTTTCCTTGATGTGATGAGCAAACTTGAGATCCCAACTTAATGTAACTCCTAACTATTTCACTTATGTAAAGCACTTCTGATTGAGTATGTCAATACTAAGTTGCAGGGTGTGGTGAGGCGTTGCTGATAACAAATTTCATTGAACAGCAAACAAGCACAATTTTACAATTTTGGCATTGTTTGAAAGACGGCGAGTTTTGGAATTAGAGATGAGGTCGTGCAAGAAGCGTTGCCAGTTGGCCGGGAAACTCGTGGTGTGCTTGTATAAACCGAGAATCACACCATCAGCATAGTTCAGCAGGATGGCCTCCTTTAGAGTGGTAATGCGGTCAATGTAAGTGGAAAATAGGAATAAGGACACTGGTTCCCAGCAGAAAACTTGAATTTGTGATGAGTGAGGAAGAGCTCTAAGCCCCGAAGCGTGTAGCAGTGTTTACTGGATCCAAGGTTACTTGTCATTTATAGCGTGCATGTGGAATGCGGTTCATCATCGCTTGAATGTCTGGACGGGCTAGTCGGGCCGGAAAATACAGCCTAGTCAAGAAAAATCGCCGACAGAACCTCCCCTCTACTGCAGAACCGATGTTGCGCTTGGGAGCTGTTGCACCATCACCGCACCCTAGTCCACAGTCTAAAAGCACCTCTTTCTGTGAAGATATTCACAACTCATTGGCACCATGTAGCTGGGCATTTGTGGATCCATAAGGTTGCAGCCATTCGCCGTCAATACCTGCTAGTTGTAGCGGGTCACAGGAAGGACTTGAGTAGTTTACGAGCAACTCGAGGAGGTTCAGCTTGTCCGGTGGCCGCAATCCTGGAATGTAGAACGCAGGGTTGCAGGAGGGTCGTAGGGTGGGGCTGGATGTCGAAGTAAGAACCTAGCAGGCACGATAAAAAGCAAATAATATTTTATTGTTTCTAAAATGGTTTTGTTGGATTTTTATGTTTTTTGCAAAATGGTTGTGGCTGAAGCGCACTACTGGCACTACAGACGCGAAATATGCCGTGTTTCGAATCCTAAGGTTTGCTCCGCGTGGCTTTTTACCATCCTAGGTATACCAATTAAATAAATAAAGACAGAAATAGTTTATTCTCGAATTTGTCGAGACACACCAAGCAAGACATGATCAACATTTACATACAATATTGCTTCGCGACAAACACGTTGCTATGTGTGTAGTCGGCAGTAAGCCGAAGGTTGTATAGGCTGCGGAACTTGTGTAAGTAATCATGAGGGATAGAGTCTTCATTGAATGACGAAAAGTTAGGTTCTAGCGTGCGTAGTGTAAACAGTCAGGGCACTATGTGTAGTGAAAACGATACATATATGCACGGAGTAACTTATTATTGAAAGTATCAGGGCAATATTGAATTAGGATCCTGGTCGAATTGCCAGTAGGTAGTTCTGGGTAGTGACTTTATTCCCTGGCGAGTCACATCCGCCACCCCGCAGTGTTGTCACACGGACATTTGTGGCATTTTATGGGGAGAACGCTTGCCAAGCGAAAACCCACCACGTCCTTGAACACTGTCAGAAATTTGTGTGTGCACTGATATACAACTGCCAGACCAGGCTGTCGACTGATTTCACACTCGGATATCCATAGTCAAATGACCTTCAATCTCCTCTGTTGGTTGATCAGGTATCTTGGGCAGGGCCGCCATAATGGCTAAGGCTAATCGAGGATGTGGGCTTCACGAAGAATCGTATTTGTGGGTGTCCCGGTGGGCAAAACGTCAGTTGCTTGCGTCTGGATTTTTCAGGAGTATGTATTCTTTTCAGGAGTGTGAAGGTCTCGAGTCCACCTATCATCACTGGACAACGGTCATGGTAGTGAGTGCAGTTGTATCCGTTTGTTGTACAACCATACACTTCATAGGTCTTTATGAGTTGTCCTGTCCATGACAAAGGCGGTTTCTCGGTCCAATCCCAGATCCCCAAGAAGTTCCGGACCTCGGAGAAAAGGAAGGTGAGAGACAACCAAGGCCGCAACGAACAGGCGTGGAAACAAACGTTGTTAAAATCCTATGTTATAACATTTAGAGTGGAGACAAATGATGTACAATGGCGGCAATGATTGTGCTGAAAGTGTCTTTTGAATGTTTTACGAAAGCAATGGCCCTATAAGTTGGT